TTACGATATGTAGCCCCCTTGTGGCCTCTTTGATGAGGAACTGGCACGTGTCTGAGTGGGTTTCCCTCTCAGATCATAGGCATATTATTTTTAGCTTGGCAACCTTTTGGGAGGTCTTAGAGGAGCCCGTAAGGGTGCCTCGAAGAACTGACTGGTCAAAATACAGGGATAAGGTGAAGGAGGGTCTGATGGAGATTGGCGGGGATATAACATCGATCCAAAAACTGGACGAGGTCACCAATGATCTCTGCCTCCTACTTAAGTGGTCCTTCGAGGAAAGCTGCCCGGTCAGGACACAAAGGCCTAAAAGGGAGGTGCCCTGGTGGAATGGGAGGTTGGCAGGGTTGAAGAGGAGTTGTAAGGAAACTCTTCAATATGGCCAAAAAAACCTCTGACAGCTATCACAGGGCTCTCACACAATACAACAAAGAGATTCGCAGATCTAAAAGGAAGACATGCCGAGCCTTCTGTGGCGACATTCAAGAGGTCGCCACAGCCTTTCGTCTTCTTAAGGCGCTTTCTAAAGATCACACAAATGCCATTGGCATGCCCAACGACTTCGATGGAGGCTCTCTTGGGCTTGGCCCCACTTCATATTCACCTAAAGGGGGAGGCTATGAAGGGGGCACTGCGGATAAGGCAATACAGGGAACCAAAGCCGGGTGATCTTAGGGGCCTTCTTAAGATCGTTGCAGAAATTTCTTGGCTTACATGACATGGGGATGCCCTTGGACTTTGGTCTGAGGGAGAGAAACATAGTGAGGCTATACGTTGTCGATCTAGCTGAAAAGCGGATCTAGAATGTATCAGAAGGAACATAAGAAGGAGCAGGATTTTTCTTATGTCGGACAGTAGGGCTGTTCTCGGGATCCTCTTATCTGATGTAGTGGGATCGAGGCTGCTAAAGGAATGCATTGACGCCCTTGGCATCCTGGCCAGGCACAACAAATCGACCTTGATGTGGGTGCCGGTACACTCTTCCTTCATTGGGGTAGAGCCATGCTTTGGGGGGCCAGAGTTGAACACTGGGACAAATTTGTGCGTCCCCTGGGACTGGGTCTTATAGATTATGAATCTTTTGATTCAGTGATCAGAGGAAATATTAATTGGCAATATATGTGAGCTGTAAAACCTGCGTGAGTTCAAAATCAATTAACTAAAAATAAGCATAATCCAAATACAAATTTCAAACTTATTTAGCTCTTAGCATTAATGTTACTGACCGCATTCAAAGTTAACTGCAATCCTAAAGCTGCATTCCCTTTTGACTTGAAAATAATATTACCAGCACAGATTACTTGCTTTGATACCAATAGACCAAATAGTCAAAACGGCGATTAAAATTCCGCAATCATCAACTGCATTTAAAAGTTGCATTAAGCCATAAAATTGCATTAGCCCCCTCCGCCTTCCAACCTATTTCCTCCTAATCTTCCGTTTTAATCAGAACTAACGCCGTTTCCAAGTAAAATTTCCACAAAGGCGCGAAATATGTTCTGCTCTTTCTTCCTTTTGCCCCAAAGTATATACACAAACAGTCGGTAAATAGCCTCAGTTTCGTCATACTCTACATAGACTAAACTATCAACTTAATTTTTCTTGCTTTATATAAGCATATAAGAATTATATGGTGACAATACGTAATTAAAACTTCTTATTTATTCAGTATTTCATTTAAAATTCTCCTTCTTACTCGTATTATTTTCAATTTAATTAAATAATTGAACAATGAAAACACACCGTACTGTGTAAGAATGGCAACTGCATTCATATTGGAATTTCGGGACTCAAATTCATTAGCTGTTGATAATATGTAATTAATTCATGTGTACGCATATTATGTAATAAATAGTCTTATATTACACACTATCACTTTACTATTCAATTACCGTCTTCACAAATTTTGTATATAACCATTAACATTCCTGTTATATTATTACAATATAATAGTTAATATAGAAAGCAGACGCATTAATATACACAAATTTCAATTAATTTGAATTTTTAATTATTCCATACTATAAGATGCAAAGATTTCCTGTTTCTGTGCATATGTGTGTTTGTTATAATAAAGTTGCTTTTCATTTAATTTGTATTTGTATAGTCTGCATATAATAGAGTAATCTTCAGAAAGAGAACACAATTTATATATGGTACCTACTTTGAATTTTATTATACACTTTTAAATTTTATGAATTCCTGTTAATCCTTAGATACATATATAATGTAGGTAATCGTACATGTGTAATTTTAATTCATGTTACACGAATTTATATAATTTTATTTGTAAAGCATATTAAAACTAAAAATAACATTGTAAACATTTTAAATTTAAATGACAATAAAAATGATTTAGTATAGGTAATAAATTAATTTATTTGAGAGCTAATTAAAATTTATTAAAATAAACGTTTTTATTGGTTCTTACTTTAAGTATAGTAAGCAAATTAAGGATTATTATATTAAGAATTAAGGATTATAAGAAGCTATATACTATAACTATGCAGTACATACTCGTATTATGTTGATGATAAGGATGATTTATTGAAAATGTATGTGGATAGAGGTGATTTTTTGAAAACTAAAAATTTTGCCAAAATATTTTTTATACCTTAAAAAAGTCAAAAATGTTGGATGTAATAAATAGTCTAGTGTTCTTGATTAACTGCTACTTGTGAATTAATTACGAAAGGGGGTTTCGATTTATTCGGTAGCATTCTGTACACCACTAAAAAAGCTCTTCGTCGACCTCAAGAAAACTTTCGTTACTCAAATTCAGCGTTATGAAATATGGAAAGCACTAGAAGACAGGGGAACTGCAAACAAAATAATTCGTATGATTCGAACGTTGTACGAACATGCCGAGTTCGTGGTAATACATAGAGAAAAAATAAGCAATTCATCCACCTTCAAATCAGGAGTCAAACAGACTTGTCCACTTTCGTCGCTGCTCTTTACAATTGTGTTAAATTCGCTCTTCAGATCTAACATGGATTTAAGTAAAGCAAGTAATAAAAAGTAGAAGAATTGGAGGCTAGTAGAAACACATACATACCTTATAAAAAATTATTTACTCCATTTGTTATTGTAATGAAACTTCGAACAAATTAATGAAATAATTTTTTCATTAAAATATTTGAGAATCCTGTAGTTTTTATGGAATTTTCTCATACAACTTCAAAAATAATTTCATCGTATTTCACAGAAAATATTCAACTTACAGTGCCCAAATTTAAAATTATTTTTTTAATTTGTTGAGTGGAACTTTAAAACCATTCATTCATACTTGTATCAAAGATTTGGTGTGATTCCACATTTTCTCGTCATTACTTAATTCGAAGAAAAATTTTAGGAAAACTATACTGAATCACCAAACAATGCTGTCAGTTTGCGGATAGTAACTTGAAATGGTCATTACCGAAAGTAGAATTTTAATATTATTATTTTAGATTAAAATAATTTTTTTTTTGTTTTTCACGATATCAAAATGTCTGACGTACTCACTTTTCTTTATTGGTTTTTTTTGTTCATTTTTTGTTTGTTTCTTTTTCGCTTCTAATAAACCTTAATGATAAAAATGCTCTACTTGGATTAATTCCAACTGGAATATCCTTATAAAATCATACATACAATATTACTTATTTATAAAAATGAAAAAGTAGCCGAGTTGTAATACAAAAAAAGAAAAGGAAAAATTGTGAAAAATTTCATTTATAAAATTTCGAATTTTTTTGTACTTTTTATTCTTTTTGGCTCCAAAATCATTTTAAAGAAGATTGTGTTTGTATTTTATTAGGTCGCCACAAATGAAACATCACTTTAAGCTTTTATCGCCTTTGACAGGATACATTTCATTTTTATATAAACTTTATATTTTGTGTACTAAATTAATTTAAGGGATAAATTACGTTTTTTTTGTTAATTTATATTTGGATAATTTAAAGAAGAATGTACTTTTTATATATGTACGTATGTGTTAGTGGAACTGGAGTATGCTATACATACATTAGTTTTAGTTAATTCCAGCTGAGATTTAAAAAAACAGTCGATGATCTAAGTTGAAATTTTTTTTTATGTTGAAATTTATAAAAAATAATTTTGTATAAAATTTGGATTTCAATTATTATAAAATTTTTTTGAGAGTTTGAATTTGTGTGATTTTATTCGAAATTTGCTCGATTTTTAAAGAAATTCAGATTTTTTAAATGGTTATTCTGTTTTTACCGAAGTTTAAAAAATATTAGAAATTTAATCAAGAAACCCTGAGAGCTGGTATATTTTCTGAATGGGATGTTTTGAGAAGGTGTAAACTCTATATAGTAAATTTTTCTCCCAAATAGTAAATTTTACTCGATTTATTACATTTTCGATTTGATAAACAGAGAAATGGACAGCCATAGAGCGAACTTTTGTAGAAAAAAAAAGTAAAAGTTGAGAAAAGGTTCCCGGTTTTAATTTTTTGTTTCTATTGTTTCAATTTACATGTAGCAACAATTTTTAATATCACCCCGAGAAATAATTGCCTTGAGTTTTTTAAATATTTTGCATGTGTAATTAAATAATAATTAAATGATCAAGTTCAAATTACTAAAAATAATTAGTTTTAATGAAAAATTACAACCGTTACTCATCAGTCCAACTTTAAATTACTTAGAATAAGAATTATTTCATTTTCAAAACTAGGAATTTTACTTTAAATTTATTAGAGTCCAGAAAAAGTTTCTGTTCTTAAACTGAAACAAAATAAATTCACTAAATTTTTAATTAACTTTTTAATTACTTAATTATTATGGTAAATTCTCACATTTCTGGTTTTTCTATTTTTCTTTTAATATTTTCATATATCGTAATAATCATAAATAAATCCAAATTAACAAAGTTATACAAATATTATACAACTGTTATAAAATTTAATTATACTTATATTTAATTTTCATTGGTATATGTTGTGTGTATAAAATATATTTTGTATAGTAATAAATATTATATAAAAGTCCTTTTCAATGACATCCACAATTATAAGCTACCATATGTTTGTATTTCCTTAAATTAACATTTTGTTCATTTAAATAATATAAAACGGATATAGAACCTAAATCTCTTGGTGCACAACATGGTTTTGGTAACCATGGATTTTTTAAACGCATTAATGTTTGTATTAAAGCATGATTAGTTGCATTCATACCAGCTCCCAATGGGAAATTACATTCTCCACTACAAAAATATGCATCAAATTTTTCCGGTGCAATAATCCAATTCTCCCAATTTAATTCGTAAAAATCAACTGTAAAATTCATACGTTGGCAATATTTTGGTGAATTAAATTGTTGTATTGTAGATTTATGTAATTCTCTTCGTTTATCTTTTGTCATCTGGGATGAATAATGTTGTTTTGTATTATGATAGTGATTTCCTGATTTCACTTGTCGTTGATCTCTTATTTTTGTGTTTTTCTTTCTATCTTTATTACTGTCACTTTGCTGTCTAACATTTTTAGTTACAATATTTCGTTTTAAACGTTTTGTTACATTTTCTTGTACTAAATTTTTAAAATTATCTATTATTTCTGGGCCATTAAAAAGTCCAATAATAAATGGATGAAATTCTTCATTATTATTATCAGTTGTTATTAAACCAATTTTCTCTGGATCAATTAACATTTTAGAATCATTTTTTAAATGTACGACTATCTGTAGAGCGGGATTTAAACCATGATTTTTTATTAATTTACGAAGTGCAACACTTATGTCAATTTCAAGCCATCCAATATAATTTACACTTATATTAATTGATGTTAATAAAATTCGTTTCTCTTCGATATTACCAAGTAAATAAACCAATATTGATATTTGTTCGATATCATTGTTGTAGACCTCTGACGACAAATTCTTGAAAATTCTCAATTCTGAATGTTGTAGCTCAAAATTTGTTGGAATATCATTGATATTGAATAATAATTTAAAATTATTTTTATTACTATATAAATATTCATTGGGTTTAATTGGTGCAAAGGTTATAATATTATTACATTTTTCAACTTCTATTAAATCGAAATCTGTTATAAAATTTGAATTTACACTTCTCCTTTGACGAATTCTATTATGATCATAGTCGTGATCTTTTAATATTTCATATAATGTGTATAAAAATTTTATTGATGAGCGGTGCAAATGTTGTTCTGGTGAATTGATTTCAGGTTTCTTTCCCAAATCTAGGATTTGAGATATCTTTTCAAGGAAATTATTTTTATTATATTGGTAGGCTTCTTGAAAATATTTTTGATGCAATAATCCTTGTACTAAACCATCATCAGAATTTAAAATATCAAAAGAATTTTCTATTTCAACATAACTTAATGAATTCGAAATTAAAACTAATAAAATTAGCGATTTGACAGACATTGTGTCGTTCATTACTCTTCTGCTTAAAATTTTCAACTGACGAGAATATTAACGTAACAAATATATTTATGCATAATTATAGCAGGCATTTTTGTTTACCTGCGAAAAAATTTATTTATAAAATATTGACCTTGTTTTGTTAAGAGGGTGATTTATGTACCTACTTGAATTATTTGATTTTAGGTTGTTCACAGAATCACGCAACAATAAAATGATAAGGAATGTCACATGTCATCCTTATTTTGGTTTTTTTTTCTATGGTTATTTTACCCGTTAGTCAAAATTATTATAAATACAGATTTAAATGCAATGTATGGAGGGGAGAAATCGTATTTTTCCTATTAAAATCTTGTTTTTCGAGTATATTTTCGGATTTCTTGTATAAATCATAAACATTCTTCTGTTATAGGAATTTTCCATATTTTAAATAAAACAGTTCTCGTAGGCCCAAATTTAATATTTTGAATTGTAGGGTCGCTGTAGAATTGTAGTTAGTAAACTGTTAGTTAGAATGAAATTTAGTTTTTTTACTACTTATGTTATATGTACCATGATTTTGTGTTGTGTCATTTGATGACTTATTCAGACACTACAGGAGCAACCCTACTTTAAAACAACATGATTTGAGAAATTTTACACTACTTTATGGCATTATTAGCGTGGCTCCCTTGCGGAATTATTTTTAGTTTAAAATCGAAAACAATAATATGACATGACTTGTCAGTTTACATTAAACAATTTTAATTGTTTTAATTGTATTTAATTTCTAACAAAACATTTAATTGACTATGTATACGGAAACCGAATTTAAAGGTTTGTGTAGAGAATATATAGAAAATCCATATTGGATTGTCTGTATTATTAAAATTTATGAAATTCGATATATTTTTGTGAAAAAATAAACAACAAATGGAAATTTCAAATATTTTCACCAAATAATTAAAAATCTTTTATATTTTTTTTCAGATATTATATTTTATAGTCTTGTGGGAATATTTTCCATTAGTTTGGAAAAAAAAATTTTAGAAATAGAAAATTAGACGGATTAGAGTTTTTACTATACAACAAAACTCTTTTGGTAAATTATGATTTGTATTGTTTTCCTTTAGCATCCAATTTAGTTTCTACTTATTATTATTATTTTTTTATAAAATTTTTGTAAATTTTTGTAATATTGTAATTTTTTTTTTTGTAGAAGAGAACATTAACACATAAAAAATATTTTTTTTTTTACAGAAAAGATAACAAAGCGACTCAAAACAGGATAATAATAAAAACTAAGTAGAAAAAATTATGAAAAATAATTTTTCCCTCAAGGATAATAAACCAAAACTGAAATATTTTACCAACAATCATAAATCAAAAGTGGAGATCTCTTTGGAATTTCAACGTTCGCCTTTTTTTTTCTCTTTGTGTATATAGAGTTGAAGTGTTCGTCTTTGTTGTTTCAGTTTGTTAATGTTGTTCTCTCTTTTTGTTTCAAATTTGAATTACGAAAAGCAACCATATTGCTCATTGCTTGAAGTGTTGATGTAACTTTAAAAAAGAAAAAACAAAATATAAGAATAAAAGTTAGAAAAAATAAATCTATATGCAAATTATAACAGTTTTTCATAAATATTTTTGAGAGAACAAAAAAAAATTACCACCCAATATTGTAATAACAGAAAAGTATGAGTTTATAAAAATTTGTTAAAAAGAATTTTACTGTTTACTGTTACTGTGTATTCAGTTGTTATTTTGGAACCATCAACCTTCCTTTCTGCCATATATGGAATGAATGGAAATATTGAATAAATTCCGTTTTTAAGAAAAGCACGAAAAACAAATAATTTATCAGTTGTACCGTTTTATATTTACATGTAAATTTTAACTAATACACATTTACTTTCATCGTGTATAACACAAGTAGCAGCTATATGCTAATGAATATATATTTTGAAGATGCGGTTACAAACCACAAACTTAGTTACGAACCAAATCGTATTGCTTTAACGTAAGTCGAGTGTGCACGTACAATATAGAATGAAACTATAGCAAAACTACTTGAATTTGTTGTTAAAATTCTAGGATTTTCTATTCAGACAAATGGTATCTATTGAAATGAACATATTCTCGACCATTGATATTTTTTTTTTTGAAAATTGCATGTCTGGATAACGATTACTCCAATTGAGAATTGAATATATTATACTCGTAGACGCGTTGTCATATAATGTCATCAAAATTGACAATGTCTCCATTTTGTCATTTTAACAATAATCACTGTTGACAGTTTTTTGGTTATTAAATTTATTCAATGATCACCGACAAGAGATTTATATGAAAAATTTTAATGTTGTGAACCTTTGAAGCAATGAAGATGATGAGGAGTTTGTAACATCATCTCCAGAGGATATTAAAAAGTGCAATGTTGTTTCTTGTATGATTCTCGACAATAATATTATTACAAAAGGACAACTTACACTACATGTCTGTAACGATGGATGCAGACATTATGTTTAATCAGAAGTCCAGAATATTTTTAAGTTAAGAATATAAAGAAAAGAGTAATAAATGTTTCATTCTCAGAATTAAGTGTAAAGTAATAACCCTACCATCTCCTTTTGTACTTTAGCATTTTTATACAAAATGCAGGTATACATAAATACGATAGAGAAAAATTAATAATCTTTATGCTTTTGTAATATTAACCAAATACCTTGCATTATATACGTACATATATGTATAACGTATATTTATGTAAAATGGAATGTTACCTATTACAAACTTGATTTTAAAATATTGAAAACATAAATTTGTATATTATGTCGTTTGCATTCTTAGTAATTAATAGGTGCTCTTCAGTAAGAAAGGTATTCTAATATATTACAGTTTACCTGGAACAATAGTCTAACTATGAACAATTCATATAATTCAGATTTAGGTATCCTTTATTAGAATATATTATATGAGGTTAATATTATATATATATTTTGCATTACCTGCTGAGAAAATAATTGTTGTATGTTACATTTGTCCTTTTTTTCAAGATTTCGCAATATTTAATAATGTAATATCTAATCCAATATCAGATGGTCTGATAAATTTATTTTTTTTTTCTGTCCGAAGTCCAGATTGACAGCTGAATGTCATGCATGAATTTTGTCTATAAGGGGTTGGTCGATGGAGTAATCGACCGGGATCATGACAGGCTAAATGTTTTTTCGAAGGTTAAGACCATAATCGTTTTAAAAATATTATTGAAATGAAGTGAGAATGCTCATAGGAATCTTATCAGACCAAAACTTTATTCTTGTAATATAAAATTTTGGGATGACGAATAACAACTTTCTCAATTAAATGAGTTCTCGCACACTGGTGGAACATAGTTCAGTACTCATTCTTACTTTTATCGAGATCTTAATTTCTTTCCCTCGGAAATTCCAATGTTAATTTTAAAAAATTAAGGCCATTGAACATACGATGGATGCATTTTTCATGGATGGTACTTACTTAAGTGCAAAGGTGGTACATATTTATGCATTTAAGGTATACGTATGTATTTTATGTGAAAAAGATTACACTTGCTTTAAAAAAAAGAAAAAAAACTTTTTGTGTTGTTGGCATGAAAATTTTCAAAATTGGTTTATGAACGAAAATTTATTTTTTTTTTTTTTTTTAAATGGAAGATAAAATCCTCTTATAACTTTTTAAATAAAATTTATTTATTATGAATAAGTTTTATTCTTCTAGAGATTCTTATAATGTTTTATAGAGAAAATAGGTGTTTGAGCTTGTTAAATTGATAAGGATGTAAGTAAAATGCTATACACATACTTAAATACGTTAATAGTTTTATATTGTACTAAAAATTATAATAATGAAACTAGGTTAGAAGATTTTTAAATTTTCATTAAATATCTAGATATTTTCAAATTGTACAAGCAAGAAGAAAAATAATATCGGATTTCCTTTTCTGAAGCTTATTACAAACTAAGAGTTCTCACAAGAAGCAGAAATTCTAAGTAAAAACGACTTTCTGTCAATAGGAAGGACATCACGTAGTTGTGCTGTTCACCTTAGATGGAGAATGATGTGATGGTCAAGTATGATACGATAAGCTGTTGAAAATTGTTAATAAATCGATACCTTAAATTAATATAAAGATTAGAAGAATATTTACAATTAAAGAGGAAGCTAAATGAACATATAGTAAACTTGTAATATGTAATTAAAATTAAAGTGAAAAGTGAAAATGTAAGGATTTGAGGATATTCTGAAAACAGTGAAGTAAAAATGTGGGAATAAATAAAAACATGTAATAAAATATTTCCCGAATGCATTTTTGAAAATATCAGAATTTGTAGTTTTGTAGAATTTGTTAGGGTATTCACCTTTTCCCTATAAAAGTCTAGCTAATAAACTCGTTGAATGTAAAATTCTATATGGCAACGAATCGCCTAAAAATATTTTACAAAAAAAATTTTTATAGTACAATTTAGTACTTTGTGAATATGTGAAGGCGTTATGAAAATTTTTAAGATTCATTTCTACTACGGGAAATATAGCAAATTATTGACAACAATTGTATACTTGACAGTCACTTATTGTGAATAAATCAAGTTCGTGTGAGCTTTAGTTTCAAAATAGTTACAGCACTTAAATTGCAAACCTGTGATGTTTTTGATATTTAAATAACATTTTCGTATAAATAGCTTTGAACCAGTTTTGATACCCAATTTCCAATATACTATCAGCTTAATATCGTAAAATCAAAAAATACAGGTAAATCATTAAATTTTATATTAATTGAAAGCAATGTTACAAACGTAAATTATAAATTTACATGAAAGTTTAAACTTACTGTAGTAGACTGATATAAGGACATTGGTTTCAAATAATTACATTATTTCGTAAATAAATGTTTCGTATTTCGATCATTTTATCGGTATATTCGTTCTGCTGAACAAGAAATTTATACTACATGTTATTATTGAATGATTTTGGATCTGTAACGGAAGTCGGCATAGCGCATGTGAATTCGTCCTCATAAATCAACAAAATTCTTTCTACAGTTATAGTTTATGACATAAAATTTCGAAGTTTTAGGGGCTTCCATTAAAGAATTTGATTTTTCCATCAGAGGTTTTAAATTTACAATTTTCACTTTTCTGTTACCAAGTATTTTTCATTCAGTAAGAAATCATACCAATTTTTTCTTTTTACTTTCTTACCAAAAGATTTACGATATTAAAATGCTCTAGTCAAAAAATAATTACAAAATATTTTTTTTTATTTCGTAATCAAATATGCAATTGTACACAAACACATAAAAGGAATATTTGAGTTGAAATTTTGTTTTTAAATATTCTTAACTTCAACAAAAGAAAATTAAAATAACAAAAAAAAAACGAGAAAGCATCATTAAATAATTATTTTTGTACTGTTTATTATTTCATACTTATTAAAATTATTTTTATTTATTTTTAACTCTGACATAAAGTAAATTTTGAATACTTTCCAAAAAAAATTTAAAGAGATCCTTTTTTCCCTTTTCTACTTGCTTTCTCTTGTATGAGAAAAGTATGTGAAAATTATTGTGAATGTAAAAATAAAAATTAGAGTATGATGAGAAAAAATTATATTGGAACGCATAAACACACAGTATGAACATACGTGTATACAAAAACGGCACGAGGATTGAACTAATTTAAAATCTTATATGTGAAATTGCAAAGAAGGACAAATATTTTGTCAGCTCTCCAAATAACTTGTTTTTAATCACAATTTGCTTTAATACAATTTTCAAGTTTGACACAAGAAAACTCACAAACTTTATATGAATGTTTATACATAAATATCCAATATATACCATGTATACATATGTATGTACATTACGTGTATTTAGTTACATCTATTCGTGTACATATAAAAGAGTGAATGTTCTGTTTTGTTTCTGTTTTTAATATTGTGTGTATGTTAAGATGCTTCTGATGTGTGAATATAACGGGGAAAGAAAAAAAGAATTTCAATAATAATGATGAAAATTATGTCAGATAAAAGAAAGAGAACAAAAAAAAAGAGAAAATCGATTCTCAACAAATTTGTTTGTGCGTATCAATGTAATGTAAGTAAGAAAGAAGAGAAAAGTGCGTTGAATACAATTTTGTTTTACAGTTCGGAATCGAACTTTAGTGTGATACTGACATAGTTGACCAGTTTATGTGTTTTAGTGACGAAAATTAGGGGATCACAAGTTTTTAAACCTGCTTCAATAAACATAATTTGTATTTTTTTTTTCAGGGTCTGGATTCCTAAGGCTCCACCTTTTGCCTCGACCAAAAGGATCTTTTGTAACTCACGGCCTGTCTACATGAGCACTATTTCTAAGCCCTTGATGAAACTCTGATGCTCCACCATCAAAAATATTACACCATCTTATCTTCCTCTAAGAGGCGACACAACCCACTATCTGCCTTCCCCATTCTTTTCAGTACTTTATTTCTGGGTACTGAGTTATATTCTGCTGTAAGATTAGAATACTTTCACACAGTTTTCACATATTGGTTTAAGTAATAGCAAGCGTCTAGAGTGATAGCTCCTAAGATTTACTCGTTCTATATAGTGCGAGCAACACAGTTCCGTACTCTAAGTTCTGTACTCTTTGAGGCTTCAGTTCCTGGTAGAGTTGATGGTTCCTGTTGTGTTAATCCGACATACCTCTCGATTTAGACCAAGAATCCAAAATTTAAAACTAAACTGTACAAAATATAAAATTTTATGCTGT